TTCTCTACTGGCTAGAAGACTTATTCTTCTGCTAGAAGACTTATTCTTCTTCGATGGAAGGATCCACATCCTCCAGTATATGGTCATTGGTTAAGAGAAGTTATGTCTTACATTCATTTAGAGAAGATTAGATATACTGTTAGGGGATCTGTAAACAATTTTTTTTTGACATTTGGCAGCCATTTATTTCTTTTGTAGAAAAAATTTTGGCAGATAATTTTGTGTAAAGGTTAAATATGTTTTCATTATACACAAACCTGTTCATGTATCATTTGATGAATACAAGATCGATTTTTGTCATTTCATGGATCCGGTATAAGACGGGAGGGATGGGAGGGATTTTGGGTGTGTGTGTGTTTTGTTTTCTGTTTTTGTAAGTCTGTTGTTTTTTGTGGTTTGTTAAAAAATTTAATAAAAAGACTGATCAATAAAAAAGTTTCTGATTAATATTTAGACCAACAAAATGTAAAATAATATTATAAATGTAAGTATTTTTAGGTTTCTGTTAGAGGAACCTGACCTGTTGGTTACAGTAGCTAATAGAGACAAGTTTCATCCTATAACAGGTATACAGATAACATTTTCTAAGTGACTGGTAAATATTTATTATTCTTATTTTTTATGACAGTAAGAAGAAATAATAAATACACTTTATTACTAGCTAAAGTCTAAGTTACAGGCTGACTTCAGGTCTGGTTTAGATCATTGTTGCTTGTAAATGACATATTTTTCTGTTATAAATCTGCAGTTTTACATGATTATTGAATGAAATTAACAGTTATTAATCTATTGTAAAAACATTACAGATAATTTGTGAAACAGATCTAGTTCAGCTTGCTGTTTATCTATTAGTTTCTATGGTGGCTGTAAGCTGTTGCCCTGTTTGGTCTGTTTCTGCTCCTCCATGCTGTCACAAACGCTAACAGTGGACAGGATGGGCAAAACTTAGTCTAGTGTTCTGATTCAAGTCTATGTTTGCTTACACTAATGGTATTTTCCATCTGGCTACATTTTGCCTGCTAAAACTTTAGATTTTCTTTGTAAATACTTTAAAGACCTTAAGTTAGTCAGTGGAACTGTACTGTGGTTGTCAGTAATTATGCGTTTTAACCACTAAGGAGAGGTGTGATTTAATAAGAGAGGATGATAAATCACTCAATGGACCTCTAAAAAATGTGTCCCCCTCACTTCTGAGATGATGGTTACGCCCTTGAGTGAAGGCACCAGCAAAATCTCTGGTTTTCTCCTGCTTTTGTTAAACTGTCTGCTGGAGCTCTTGTGCTGCACAGAGAGGCTGCCTGTCACTGTGAACGTGAGTTGAGATCTTCTCCTCAATGGTCAGTCCACATGAGGCGGGTCGGGTGACTGAGAGGGTTGCGTAATGTCAAGCGTCACTTTTGTGAAAATGGAGGACACTTCCCTCGATCTCAATGTAGTGAGTCATGTTTACCAGATTATACTGATGTGTTTTGTTTTTATAGCATCATGTGAAGGAGTGTCCTTGACAAGAGGACACAGTAGTGTATTTGTAGTTCTATGAGCATTTGTACATCAAAATACCCTTAGAAGTTGAAGTATTGAGTATATTTACTATATATTGCAATAATTTACTCTGCATTTTGCCAGACTATGGTAATCCCGGGGTCGTGATGTTGGGGCCCTTGAAAATTGTTGCCCAGGGTACAGCGAAGTGTTAATCCGGCCCTGGATTTCGCTGGCAGATTTTTAGCCGGGACAATCAGAGAAGAGAACGTCAATTTTCTTGCAGTTTATTTTACCTGGGCCAATCAGCAAACAGAAGGTGGAGTTTTGAATGACATCGATGTTCTGTGCAGTGTCTGCTAGTTATTTTAGCATACGGCAGTGGAGGAAGAGAATGAAGCCAGTCCGTGTTGATAAGGCTTCCAAATTAAAATAAATTTGTCTGACAAAGCAGCAGCTCTCACTTACAGCCGTCTCATTCAGCTCGGTATATTTCTCCTCTCAGTAGGGTTGTTTACAGCACACGCGATTTCTGGTTAGCTTTTTAGCTTAGCCTCCTTCACACCGACAACACACACATGCTTCAGCAGAGGCCACGCCTCCTGCAAAAATCACTTTTCTATGCAGCAAGTCTAGACCCTTGTACGAAGCAAAGTGAAGGACAGGGTCTGGTTTTAACCAGGCTAACACTGTTCAAACCCCAGCAGGAAAGATGCTCAGGAGAAACAGGAGACATCTGAGGAAGATCCACCACGTTTGTTCAGAGACACTTCTCCTGATGAACAATCTGACTTCGAAGAACTATCCACTGAGGAGCCACCTGGGGAAACAAACACATCTCCTCCTGCAGCTGTGAACAATGGGCCTCATGCAAGAACATGTTCGTATTCTTCTCCTAAATTTCTCTTACTTTTGTTCGTACAAAGGGTTCGC